AGGCAAATGAATTGTTGCATTGAAGGTTGAATAAAATATTCATTTGGCATGTATTGCTTTCGAATGTTCTTTTACGACATATAATGGTGACATGGTACAGATATTTGATATTGTTTAAATTACAATATGTACATACTCTTTGCGACTTTGCAATTTTATGATGTTTCCCGATATCAATATTTAGCCATGTACATCCAACTCGAGCATGCGCAAAGTCGGTTGAACATGTACACAAGGTCGTATCTATTACCTATTACATATTTCTGTTTCAAGGCTAAACGGAAATCGTGCATGGCTAATGTGATGCTAATATATTTGTCCATTTTTGGGAGTACATATCGTTTAATCTGGTGTGAAAACTGTTAAGAAAACTAGCTATTCATCCAACGTCTTGGCAGACCTACGCAGAATTAAGAACTGAACTAAACAAAATATGTCTAACATTACTTGCCCAGTTCTGTCTACCCATTTCGTACGAGTCTTTTGGGTGGCATGTGAAGTAGTTTTAGCCAGTATTTAATGCATTCCATCGAACTTTCTATCAAACAATGAGTATCGTCCACATTCCCCTTGAGCCATTACAGTAGGAGTGTTAATGCCTGTACCACAAATGTATACATGCAAGAAAGTGGACCCTTTCTATCACCTCTATGCTTTGATGTCCCCATATTTCACATGTATAAAGAAGGATGGGTTAATGTTTTAATCAAATATTTTGAATATACTTTCCGTGTAAGACTTTTCAAAATGTCCAGACTGATTGAAATTTAACTCCGAATGTTATGCTTCTATTGTTACTTTAATGATAAAGTCATCGATAGGCCAAAGTATGTATATCACGAAACAACTTCTACAATAATTTCATTACGATAATTCCATTTTTCACATTGTTTAAGATCTGTTCCTTGGATGTTGGATGTAATAGGGATGATGTGGAATTGTTTGTTGAGGCCTGTGTTGCTTGATCGATGCCCTTAATGGAGGAAGAGGAATAATTTCAGAAATAGATATGGCTTGGGTTCTCAAGGATTTGTTCCACTGACGGTGACTATACCAGTTGACAATATCATCTTTATTTGAGGTTAGGTGAAATTGGGTTTAACGTCGTGCTTGAGAATATTTCGCTCATATGACGACATGCATGCGTGTGTGTGTGTATGTGCGGCTGCTCGTCCTAGCCCAGACTTAAGCTGTTTTATAGTGCTAGCCCACTGAGATACCATGCCGCAGTGAAGCATGAATACCCCACTCAGACACATTATACTGACTCCTTGTTGTACCCATTAATGCCGAGCGCCAGACAGGGACCAACAAGTTCCATATTTTAACGTCTTTTGGTATGACGCGGTCGGGGATCGAACCCGCGACCTTCCGCTCTCCGGGCGGACGCTCTAACCACTACACCACGGAGGCGGTATCTTTATTTTGAAAGAAATATGAGTTCCATTGTGTATCTCCGTGAGCCACACCTTGCTATAGACAATAGGTCACGACCTACTGATAAAGGTAGTTTATAAATAGTGCCATCAATCCCTATCATAAACAATAGTTCAACCAAAAGAAAGTATGCCAAGAATGTAAAAAGCCTATGGCAGACAACAGAGCATAGCAAAATATGTTTATTTTACTAGAGTTGTGCATTAGCAGTGTGTAAAGCTGATCATGTTATAAACAAAGCCTTTATGGCTTACTGACATACAGAGACACCGCGTAGTAAACTATAAAATGCTTACAACATGACATCAAACACGTTCTAAGATAACATGAAAATATTCCAACCAAAACGTGAATGTTAACGTGAAACACACTTCTCTACCTAAGGGTCTCATAACATTTGAGGAAATAACCAGAGTTGTTTTTTGAGTTTCTAAAATAAGGAAAATTCAAGTAGCAAACTAACTACTAAAGTAAACGAGGAGGTCTAGATACCACACGAAAAGGGTGTACGTACTCTGCCCAAAGGTACCAATAAACGTTTACAATTAGAACCCCATGAGTCATTGTGTACCCTTAACATTGACAACATATTATTAGTTAAGCATTCAGTGTATTCCAGACACACAAGACAGGCAGCCCTCACTCGATGTATCCAACAAACCATACCGCATTGCTGCTAGCTGCGTGTCAATTAACGTCAACGCAACGTGCACTGAATCACCTGTAATACTTACATTGGAATACCTTTCTCCATCTCGCTCATCCACCGTTCTGTCAGGAAATGGTTTTACACAATTTTACCTAGGCTGTCAAATCCTAGATGATTGTTTGTTCGAAAACACGATGACCTTTGCTTGACAATTCAGTGACAGAATTAGCATAGCAAGAGAACAAGGTAAGCAGCTGACCCTTATTGTGATGTGCAACTTCCCGTGGATGTCACTAAACAAGACACACGTATATTGAGTTTAACATGTCTCGTTTTGACAGACATGTTTGCTGTGTGAATTAGCTGATATATTTTCGATCTGATCGTTTGGTCTCTGGACGTTTTTCAAAACCTGTCACGAGATTGTACCCTTTGTGAAGACGTCATGAGAGATATCTAAATGAGTTCATTTGAACATTAACGTCTTGGTGATGGGTGTGCTCTAATTCAGCGTACAAGGGAAGGGTACACATGGAAAACACTTTATAGATATATCGAGGAACCTTCTGGCAACATAGGTGTCACTTCAACAGCATTATTGGCCAGTGTAAGTACTGATGGATATGTCCAAATGTTGATTGGGAAGGCAAAGTAAATCAGCTATTCGCGAAAACATGATAGTATTGTTCAAGCTGTGCCACCCCACAAAAACAATTGAAGTTTTGACAACACATGGGAACACTATACTAGTCAAAGTCTGGAATTGCATCGACCTATTTTTTCGGAAAAGCGACAGATGATTCCTCCTCTCCAAAACCACACGTGTTGCACTGAATGGCGATAAGGCACGACTTTCTGGCAAACAATCCCTAGACATTCCCTAGATGTGCCGAGAAAACAACACAGAACATATTTGTTGACCACCAAACGTTATATCGTCTACACCAAAATATCATTGAATCGTTAGATTCCATTCTATAAGATTTTGTTAGTTAAACGTGTTTCGTCCTATTCCATTTAGGAACAATTATTTGAAGACAAATGAACAAAAGTAACTAAGGTCTCTCTGTACTTAATCGAGGTTTAACTGTAGGACTTTTGGTGGTTATGTTGGTGGTTTGAGCCGTTCAAAAGTAGAACTAAGTATTACTGACTCATCTTACTACATGTGATTTGAATTAGTGAGTCTAGTTTCCCCCACCTTTAGCAACTGTCCAGCAATATGACGCCACTGATCACCATCAATGAACTTCACACTCTCTAGCCATAAGAATAGAACTCGAGCCTTCGGTGTGACTAGCAACCGCTTAAATTAGTACACTAACCCGCCGCGACCACAAAGGTACAATTGTCCAGCATTTTGATCACAGCCACTCGCGATAATCTCGTGGGTGTGATTACACTTAGAAATGATTCATTCAAATACATCAGACTTTGCAGTGCAGCTATCCCCTTGTGCTCCCAGTCATGGCTGAACATAACGGGTATGTTCTGTCTGTCCCAGTAGTCTATCAAATACCCCCCTTTAATAACGGTTGCACCAATGGCGTACTCCTCACAACTAGTGCAATGTCCAACAGTCACAATCAGAAATCTTGCAGCGGTGAATGTTTTAATTTCAAACATTATCTGTCTTCATATCACAATAATATTTCAAAATTCAACACGCTAGATAGTAGATAGGGACATAGGGAGTCGCGATAACTTAATCCATCCATGCGCATCACTAATTAGAGGACGCGGCATTTGTCTACCTTAAGATGGTCATAGTTACTCCCACCGTCTACCCGCGCTTGATTGAATTTCTTCGTTTTGTCATTCAGATCACTGGATGAAACACAATACATTACATGGGAGGGGATGTGGGATGTCCTCATGTGTTATAATATATAACTATCATTACCATAGCAACGTTCAGATACGTGTTACTTAGGGGGAATGGCGCATACCTTCGGTGTAGATATAGTTTTCAAGGTGGCACGCTGCCGACATAGAATCATACCAATATCTTCCATGTAGTTCTTCACATATGCGTCAGTTTGTTTCGATTTATGAGAAGCTTCTGTAACTTTATTTAAAAGTAATTCTGGTTCGCTTGTTTCACCGGTAATCGGAAATGCGTGAATAGAATGAAGTACACCAAACTCAAACAAAACAGAGCTGCTTGAAATACTGATGCTGGGCACGTGCTCCACAACGCGACTTCGGAATTATAATGATCGTGAATTCATACAGCACAGAGGTTACTGCTATAGAATGACAGCGTGGACAAGGACAAGTGCCTCGACTCACATTCGTGATATTATATAGATAAAATACGTCCACAGGACTATACTACGAATATTAATCGGATACATTTAGACCAACCTAGTTGCTCATGGTATGATGTGAAACAGCTCCGTCAAGGACGTGTGTATCTGAGTGAGTGAGTGAGTTAACGTCATACTGGCAGTAGCTATATAGTGACCAGACGGGTAATGTAGATACAAGAAGCATCTGTAACAAAGACCAGTAAAATATTAGCATGATATCACAATGTGAGCCTAAACACTAACCATTTGAATTATTAAATATTCGACACAGTGTATGACAGTGACCATAGCCAGTCTGACTCGTCATGCATGAGTTCACCAGACCAGTCAGTATTTCTAATTCTAGTTTCAACTCGACCCATTTTAAATAATCTCTCACAGTAGTGTCATTTAGTGTCAAATCCCCGAAGGAATCTACACTGAATTGATTCCATGAATCCTCACATCCATGTTCAGTCAATGTCCCTCATACGGATATATGGAAAATACAATATCCTTGGATACAGACGGTCCCCACCCCTATCCCCATTCAACATGAACATGAAACGGTTGCCCCCAAACTAACTCTACTTTCTGTTATGTAGTTATCGCCTCAAATCAAAATGAAGCGTTCAGACAAGTCCCTGCTTCTACCCCTCAACGTCTCGACTCTGCTGGTGTTTGTGGTGACGGTCATACTGACCGTCTTTGCCGAGCTTGGAGGATCAGGTAACTGCAGTCCAGCCCTGTATCTCTCAGAACAGTAAAGGCGAGAATGAATGGATGTCAACGTCTATATTGTGCGGTACACTACGTTTCGGGGAATATTCTTACTCCAAGTGAATGAACAGGGCTAAGAATATACCCCGAAACGTTGTGTTTCTCAAAATAGAGAAGTTGACATCCATAAATTCACACGTTATATTTATCACTTCTAAATGTCATTCAATGTCTCTCAGATGTTTTAGAAAAGAACATCGATTGGTAACTTTAATCGTTATTAGTAGAATATCTCATGTTTCCATGCACTGTGTATATTTGTTTACAGCAAAGAAATTCTCTGGTACACATTTTCAGAGATATTCCTGAGTACCACGGCCGATGTGTTCAGCGTTTACGAGAACGTGTTCAGGAAGGCCCGATGGTCTATCTACGTGTTTGTCTTCATATATGCTCTTCAACCTCTCTGGCTCATCTTTTCGCTGACCCTGTTCTGCAGGAAGGGACCACATGGTCCTCTCTACCTCCATCCCGTCCTCTTCACACCCGCCTTCTTCTGGGTACACATCCTGGGTGATCTTCTCTACATCAGCTGGCTCTTCCTCCTCGACAGAGAAGCCCTGGAACTGGCCTTCGTATTCCTTCTTGGGTCGACGATCTGTTACTACGCATGCCTTGTCATCAGTTACAGAACCAGGTTCGAAAACAAGCTCGAACTGGAGACGAAAGGGCGTAACGTTGACAACGTGCTCTTCATAATATTCGTTGAGAATACTATTGCTGCCTTTGCGACCTGGCTTCTTAGTAACGCGTTGTTCACCCTGGCTATGGTGATGACCGCCCGATCCAGCACGCCACTAGACCCAGTAACAGCCGGGTGTGTGGTATTGGGGATATATATTGTACTATTGACAGCGACTGACATTACCGACATTTTTGTAATTAGGAAGTTTAGTGAGTACACCTTCAGTACCTATATAACCAAACTATTGATCATTATTTCGGTCACTGCTGCCAACATCGGACGGACAAACCTGAACACAATCTTAACTTTAATTCCCCTGGGGATGGAGATAAGCTTTTTTCTTGTTAAGATTATCATAGTAGCTATGGACAAAATGAGACAGAGTCTGTGGGTAAGACTACACGTTAATGAAGAACTATGTCACTGAACGTACAATACACAGCTCGATTGTCGATCAGCTAAATATTCCTTCAATACCTGAATGGTACATGATTGCCCTTTAACACAACGTATGCGCTGTAGCTCTTTGTTCACTTTGCATGATTAGACACGTCGGGTGTTTATTATGTGTCTTCCACAATTCATGCTTATTTTGTTACATGCTATCTTTTTCATGCACGGTTGAGAACTGATGAATCGCAACTAGACTGTTAAAATATTCAAACGACAGGTTGTTGTCATCGGTTACAACATGCAACCACGTGATCTAAATTCACGAATAACCCGTGTAGATCCGGGTTAGAATTGGTCTTCAGTAACCCATGCTTGTCGTTAGAGGCGATTAACGGGATCGGGTGGTCAGGATCGGTGACTTGGCTGTCACACGTCATCGTATCCCAGTTGTGTAGATCGATTCCCATACTGTTGATCACAGGATTGTCTAGTCCCACAGCCATATAGCTGGAATATTGCTGAGTGAGATTCGCTGACCATTTATTGGGATGATTGATGGTTCTCTTCTTCAAATGTCCGAGAATTAATTGATGTGTTTCTTGTTGATTCCCAAGTTGAAACTAAAATTGAATTAGTCCGAAAGAGAATTAGGTGTGAAACAGACAGTGCGATGTATAATGTTTTTATCACTTTTACAAAGTCTCACAAACGACAAGTGACATTATATAACAGGCACGGATGTAAGAGCCGCTTGTTCATTATGGGTGAGTCAGACTCCGCGTCAAGGAAAATGTGAGGTTTCTGCTGTATCTTTCAATACACCACCAAGTATATGTATATTTGAATAAACGCATTCTACCAAGAACTTTATGTTTCTTGTCATTGAACCTCTTAACTAATGCAGACATGGTAAATTGGTTGAAGTTATGTGGTCATGATGTCAGTTACGTGTCTTACCATATTGATTTTTCTGACTGTTGTGTTACAGCTGGGATTTTGGCGATTGCAGCGTTCAACATCAAATAGAATACATCCAGACAAATCATCCTAACACGTACCTGCCTTCGGTACGGAAACAGAACCATTGATGACTACACACAGGCGAAAGGGACTCTCAGATAGAAAGTTGCAATTTTTGTGTTAATTCCCAGACATTTTAAAAACACAAACAGTCATTATAAAGCCGGTGTTGTGAAAAAATATAATCCGATCAGTTGAACAGATACTAGCACCAGCCTGTTAAGGCAGTACAAGTTGTTTCCTCCTTCAAAGCCTATTTAATGCTGCCATTTTGAGCTGGTGTCCTTACTCCGCTCCGCAGAACACATCAAATGCATCCTCAAGTCGTAACTTAGTGATGGCAACAAACACACACACACACACACACACACATATATATGATAATGGAAACATCTGGAAACATCTACACACTGTGCCACAGGAACGGTCCTACAACAGTCAACATACATCTATGTAGTACAGTAACTGAGTCTGATTAAAACTCCTAACAACTCCGTCACAACCGGATCACTTGCCTCCATTGGGGTATCGACTTGTTACAAGACAACATATAGATAAAGACACATTCTGATCAAATACAGGTTACCCACATTGTACTCGATTTAAAGAAATACACATGTTGTATTTATAATGATGTTCACCGTTAGTCACAGTTTGTTTATACTGTTGACGTAGCTTGCACCAACTGACGTAGCTTGTGTTCCGGATGACGTAGATTGTGTTTCTGGGGTTGCTTGTTTGTTTGGTGCTACATCACATTGACGACAAGATATTTGGGGGAATTAACTTGGCAGAGCTGACTACTCGGCCATCACCTTAAAAACAGAGAGAAGGCTGCTGAGTCCCTTGAAGTCTTTATTCGTAGCAGAGTCGGTAATTATATACTTATAGAGAGATTGCAAACAATAATAAATATACATGGTAGATACGGTAAATGACTAACAGTTAAATAAACCTTAGCAGCGTAACAGTGGTATTGTTATCCAGGCAAAGTTGGCCGACTTAAATGATTGGTTTGCGAGTCACTGATAATTAGAACCAATACGGTAATACATTTACAAAGTAAGTTGTGTACAATACTAGACAGGGATTTATTATATCTTATTCTAGCTAACGTATATCATACATGAACTGTTAATACTTACATTTACGGCATTCTAGCGTTACTGATGTATTTACATATACCTGTAATTTACATACTGTATTATTTCAATGCCGTAAATGCTTAACCGACTGATAGACGTAGCATAGCCAATATTCGCATGAGCCGGTATTTACGTGAGGTTACCCGCGGGTATTTACCACAATGTACACGTACTCATACTAAGTGCTTTAATGACTATCTATCACTTGGCATATCAACAGTTAATGTACAACTAGACTACTGTATTAATATCTACATATATAAACATACTATTTGCATCCATGTTGTCTTGTGGTATACTGAACTGTATAAACGTGAGGTTAAGGCTATGAAAAAGGTAGCACACATAAGTAGAGCGCATATCACACGGTATAACTTCCCGACTTTAACTAGTACAATAATACAATCTTACCTTAAAAACAGAGAGAAGGCTGCTGAGTCCCTTGAAGTCTTTATTCGTAGCAGAGTGAAGTGTCTGCTACTAGACTCAGTATATATAGGGACTCAGGCCTTCTGTGGAATTTCTGAGTTACCTAATATTGTAGCTGTAATCTAAAATCTGGTGTATCAATTGCAATTAGCTCTGTGTCATGGAGTGCACTGACCACTTAAAATCATTTATATCACTACGCAACGGACATAAGCTACTTACAATGACGTTGCGCCCGGCCATGCACAGCATGTTACGGCCTGGGGCATAACCCTAACCGAGACAGCTTGACTATATTGCATAATTCAGAGTTAACTGATTCGTGACGGTCAGCTACGTGGATACTTCATCTTAAGAAATATATAAATGTTATACTGATTGTTAAATAAAATATTCATGTAAATATGCAGCTTATTATTGAACTATAATCATCATAATTTTAGATTCATTGTAGTGATTTTAAGACTATGACAATATCCCTCCGCTGTGGGAAGCTTTTGACCGCAAAAGCAAAACATGGATGTTAAATGGAAATAGTGCTACTAAAGGCTTGTCCGTGTTGGACCAAACATTATACATACATTGAGAATGCACATTTGATCAATCAATGATTGACAAAATAGAAAATGTGGCAGTATTAATTATAAGCAAGTATAAAACATGGTAAAACAGAATACAACATATGACATGATAAAAATTGTTCTGCTTTGAGAAGCAAAAAGGTATATAATATGGTGAACAAAATACAACTGTCACAATAAACCATGTATGGTAGAGTATTGTTCTCAGCAGGAACTCGGCCATTGTATAAAGTCCCTAAGTAGAAAAGGTTATTAACCTGTGATGGGCAAATTCATTGGGAACACTGGATGAAGAATATCAGATCAAGGTTTTGAAAAGTTCAAATAGGTGTACAGGGGGCCAAATAGTGTCATATTTGGGCAATTTTATTGTATCAATGTCGTTTGGATTGAATGTATGACGTTTCATGAGTGTAATCAATAATAATAAATAACTGATTCCGATAACATGGAGCCAGGATTCAGTGGGTTGATAGTGTTGACAACGAGTTTGAAGAGATGACATTTGCAACTATCATCCTTCTAGCACTTATGAACACAGGAGGACCTGTAGGTTTGTTATCAACGCCTAACAATTTACCCTGAAACTAACTGCCATGGACTATCAAAGTCGAGGGTCCCTATATTATTAGAGATTAGACAAAATATTTGTGAGATCTTTTGTGCTTACGACTGCGTCCAGTCTGTGTTTTGTGCACGTGGAAGTCTCTGATAAGTCCTTGTCCTATGTTATGGTGTGGTTCCCATGTTGGTGTAGGATATCCATCCCATTTGACAAGAAAATGGCATATGCCATTGATGTCTCTGTACTTCAAGAGTTTTTCAACATCATAGAATTGATCTTGTTGGTGATCATTTGTTTGCTTGTGAGAGTGCTCTGATGGCACAGTTTCATCTGCTTCTGCAGTAGGCTTTTCACTGGAGACTGTTGAGTCGAGTGGAGAGTTGCCTTGCAAAGTTTGTGCAGGAGGATCTGGTAATGATTCCGTAATTGTAGGTGTGGAAGAACCTGATGAGTCATCATGCCGTGCAACATTACCTCTGAGGATATAGGGTTTCAGGCGATTGGCATGGACCAAAGATTTGTGTTCTTTGTCGTCTGAACATCTATGGATTTTGAACGTGTGGTTTGGACCAATGTTCGTGATATAATAAGGACCTGTCCATGAGCGGGACAGCTTGGGGGAAAGTCCTTGTTTGACTACAGGGCTGTGGAGAAGCACCTGCTGGCTTAATCTGAATGAAGGTTCTGATGATTTCAGTTCTTGATGCTCCTTATCTATCTGTTGACTTACAAACATGTTGTCTCGAGCAATAGCTTTGACAACTTTCAGATTGTCAATGAGCTGTGTAAGATGCGTCTCTGCGCTTTTACCAAGTGTTGGCTTTGGCGTGAGTTTAGTGTCAAATGGAAGACACATTTCTCTGCCAAAGAGCATTTGATGTGGTGAGAAACCAGTTGATTGGCATGGTGTGTTTCGCATTGCCATGAGAACACATGGAAGAATGTCAGCCCAGTTAGATTGGTCAGGCTTACAGTACGATTTTAAGGCTTGTGCAATTGTACTGTTACGCCGTTCAACCATTCCATTTGTCTGGGGGTGGTACGATGATGTGAAGTGGTGTTTCACCTCAAAGATTTCACAGATAGCATTGACTAGCTTTGATGTGAACTGGCGTCCTCTATCAGTGATAAGAGTTCGAGGAGCACCATACCTTGTGAAGACCTCATTAAAGAGTTTCGTTGCTACTTCCACGGCATCTTGGGTGTGCAATGGAAATGCTTCAATCCACCTAGAGAATGAGTCCACAGCTACAAGAACATACTTATGCCCATCCTTTGTTTGAGGAAGAGGCCCAAGAATATCAACATGTAGCCTGGAAAAGTTGTCTTCAATAGGCATAGGTACCATTGGAGCTGGCTTAGAATGGACCCAACGTTTGTTTTTTTGACATTGTTCACATGATTTGATGTATGTTTCAACATCCTGGTACAAACCTGGCCAATGGTACTTGGTCAATATGGACTGACGGGTAGCATCACGACCAAAGTGGCATCCACCTGCTTTTGAATCATGATAAGCATAAAGCAGGGATTTCCTGTCTGCAATAGGAACTGCCAGTTGTGTGATCATTGGGTGGCGACTATTCTTGTGTCCTCTGTGCTTTGGCATGTAGAAATGATATAATATACCGTTGCAAAGATCATACTCCTGTGAGCGACCCTGGAGGCCTTTAATTTGAGAATCAGTGTAATGAGAGGGAATCTCACCATTCTCTAGATAGTCAATGATTGGCTTAAGATCTGGAGAACAGCTCTGTCTCTCTGCGAGATCGTTTTCAGGAATATCAGTGCCAATAGTTTGAACTGTTGGTCCTGCTGGAATCTCATCTTGATAGCAGAATTCAACACACAGATCGAGTGATGCTGTTGCATTAGAATCTACAGCTTTCTGATCAGCTGGATTAGGGTTTTCTGAAGATGAACGTTCAGGAGATATCCCACAGTCATTATCTGAAGAAGTAGGCTGACCATCAGTGCTGTGATGGATTGGGTTTCTCTGTGGTGCTGTTGCACCCACTTCGGCGTGTGAGCGCTGGATTGGTACATGATTGTACTGGACATTGGCTGTTGTGTAGTTGATAGAAGGCCGTGGTGGGACAGGGAAATCATCAGTGACAGGTTCAGTGATCTGTGCAGGATATGGAATGCGAGAGAGAGCATCAGCATTTGTGTTAGCTTTACCTGCTCTATGTTCGATCTCGAAGTCATATTCCTGGAGCATGAGAGACCATCTGGCAAGACGACCTGTTTCTTGTTTGATGTCCTTTAGCCATTTGAGAGCATGATGATCTGTGTACACTTTAAACTTTTGAGATGTAAGGTACACCCTGAAAGTTCTAATGCCTTCT